GCTAGAAAAGCCACTTCCAGGAGATGGGAGAAAATTTAGTCACCTTGGTCTGTTCTGCCCTTCCCCCTGAGAAGCCAAGAAGGGTGGCTCCTGTTGGACAGTCGCTGAGTTTTGTGATACAATCTCTTTTTTTTCATCAGGGATAGGAAAGCCCATCAAGTCCACATAAGCCAGAGCAGAACAAACCTCAGAAAGAAATGCCAAGATATAAACTCTGAGCTTAGTCTTAGACTTCACATCTACTAGGCTTCCTTGGCTTTTAATAAATCTTTAATCCAAAGCCAGTGGTTCTTTTCCACTGTGTAAACATTAACTTTCAGGTCAAAGGGAACACAGAAGTGCATGATTTAATTACGCACTGTTTTATTTCATGGTCCATCTCCTAGTCAAAAGAAATGACTGTTTTGGGTTCACACAGCACTGACTTCTGTTCAGTTGATCTAGCCAAGAAAGAAGCTGGATTTTTATTTATGTGTTTGTACTGCATTTGATATCTCGAGAGAAGGCTGTGCTGAGGAGGAATTTGCCTGCTCACTTTCATTAGGTGTGGAGCCAGAGTTTCTGTACATTGACAAGCCCAAGGGGCACCACAAAATCTATCTCAATGAAATAATTTCAAAGCAGGAAAAAGACAATATGCCTGTACTTCACGTTATTTGCAGTAAAGGTTGGCTAAGAAACTGAACTGACAAAGATAGAATTTGCGGTCTCTGAAGAGCACACATAGTTTCAATAATCTAAACCAGCTCCCTTCTAAGTATTCTGGGGGACTTCTCCTCAGAGCTGTATTAAAGAACATCTTTCAGAAAGCTAATTCTACTCTGAAATAAATCAAACAATGACAAATGTGCTTTCCTCTACTGTTTCAGGTGTTATCACTCTCACTGTTAGGAAACTACATCTAATTTCAAGATCTGTTTAGACTCTGGTTCTGAGAATGCCAGTTTATTTCCCACACCACATTCCTCTCACTACATTGAAAAGATATGCATTTGAATGGTGGAGTATTTGGTGGATAAAGAATTGGTTGGTTGGCCACAGCCAGAGGATTATGGTAAACTGCTCTGTGTCTAGGTGGAGGCCAGTGACAAGTGGTGTCCTCCAGGGGTCTGTCTTGAGATAATGCTCTTCAACATCTTTATCAATCACATAGGCAGAGGGATTAAGTACACCTTCAGCAAGTTTTCAGATGACACCAAGATGAGTAGTACAGTTGACACAATAGAAAGGAGGAATGCTGTCCAGAGAGACCTGGACAAGCTTGAACAGTGCATCCAACTGAAATGAGGTGCAACAAGGGCAAGTGCAAGGTGTTGCACTTGGGTCATGGCAGTCCCAGATAAGTGTAAAAACTGAAAATAACTCCTTGAGAGCAACTCTGCTGAGAAGGACTTGGGGAGTGAATGAAAATCTTGATACAAACCAAATGTACCAAGTGTATACTTGCAGCTCAAAAGGCCAACAGTATCTGGGGCTGCATCAAAAGAGAGGTGGCCAGCATGGTGAGGGAGGTGACTTTTTCTGCTCTGCCTTTGTGACACCTCCTTTGCAGTACTGCATCTGAGCCTGAGGCCACCAGTACAAGAAAGACACAGAGCTGTTGGAGTGGGTCCAGAAGAGGGCCACTAAGATGACCAGAGGGCTGGAGCACCTCTCCTATGAAGAAAGGTTGAGGAATTTGGGCTTGTTCAGAGTAGAGAAGAGAAAGCTCCAGGGAGACCTCAGTGTGGCCTTCCAGTAGTTGAAGGAAGCTTATAAACAGGATGGAGACTGACATGGTCTGATAGTGATAGGATGAGGGCGAATGATTTTAAACTGGAAGAAGGGAGATTTGTATTAGATACTAGGAGAAAATGTTGTACTCAGAGGGTGTGAGGCACTGGAACAGGTTGCCCAAAGAAGCTATGGATGCCTCATCCCTGGAGGCATTCAAGGTCATGTTGGATGGGGTCCTGGGCAACCTGATCTGGTGTGTAACAACCCTGCCCATGGCAGTGAGGTTGGAACAAGATGATCTTTAAGGTACCTTCCAATCCAAGCCATTCTATGATTCTTTAATGTTATGATTGCAGCTCTGCCTGCACAACTGCAAAGCCTGTATGCTGCTGTTAGTGATGTTGATGTTAGCGATGAAGAATTAGCTCCTTCACTGACCATTCTGATGCACTATGAAGAAAGCAAAGGGGTCCCATTCTTCATTTTCCCTGTTTGCTGATCACATATTACAACAAACTACAGTGGTGCAAATGGATAATGCTAAGAACAATACTTGTTTGTAAAGCCAGTGTTTCGGCTATGTAGTGGTTTCTCACTAGGTAGAAGATCTTTGTAGTTGATAGGACATTTGAAGAGGATTGGGACTTATTTTTGTCCTCCTTTCCCTCTTCCACTTAACACCTACCTGATGTTCTTTCCGAAAACAGTGCCTGTCAGAGAACCTAATACACAGTGCTGCAGCAAAGAACACCCTAAGGAAAACTTTACCTCTGAGTACTTTCTGGTAACTTGCCAGCCAGTGACAGGTTCATCAATAATGATAATGGCATTTGTCAAAGAAAACTAGTGCACTAAGCTGTAGACATGCTCAGCACTATAAAGGAATCAAAGAATCCAGTATCCTCTTATGGAAAGTAAGACGGAACAAGAGCTCTAATGGGAAGAGCTGGCTAACAAAAGAAAGGGAAATAGAAAGATTAAGCTCTCTTTGCTGAATAGCAGAAGCAGCTTTTCTCCTGGTAAAGCCTGTCACCTCCTTATCAACAGAAAAATGATGACTCCAGCACAGACTTCACCACACCTGACTGAAAAAAATCTATTGACTGCAAACTCCGGCACTGCAGTTCATATCTCATTTGTCATAAATGGAGCATACTGAAACTGCCTCTGCAAATATTATCAATAATGAAAACTGACATTAAAGTTGCCCCAAAACCCCATTACTGCATAGGTTCAACACGCTTTAAGCCAGAGGCACCTTTGCTAAAGACTGCTGTAGAGCAGGCAATCCCGTTGTTTGCTACTAAGCTGAAAACAGCTGAAGAATTTAAGGTTACTTAATATATATTAAGTTTCCTGTATTTCTGTTCAGAAATCCAGAAGGCATTTCTGAGGATTTTCCATATTTAGGACATACTCATGCTTCTATGCCCTCAGTGAAGAAGCTGGACATAAACCAACCAGAATGTTCTGCCAAGCCCTTTGGGAAGAAAGGAGGATCAGTGCTCATTTGCTATACCTCTCACCTGTGTACACGTTGAAGTCTTTCACACCTTGAAATACATCTATGAACTGTCTTCCCTGACACTTTGCACTAAGCATTAGGTGCAGACATCTGGGAACATATTTCTGAAAATAGAGATGGAGAAGTTCCAGTTTAGACAAAAGGGGTAAAAGTGTGTGCCTGTGACAGACATCAGGGAGACAGGAGAGGGAGAGAACAAGAGAAAAACAGAGACAGGGAGAGATGCAATGGGGGACACAAAAGACAAAAAGTCAGGGACAGAAAGTGAGAAAGCAAGAAAGACAGCAAGGTGGAAAGAAACAGAGACAGGTGGAGGGGAGGGGGAGCACAAAAAGAATAGGGACACAGAGAGGTCAGACAGGGAAAGAAATCAGGGACTAATGGAGCTGGAAGGACAGAGAAAAGGCAGACAGTAGGCTCACACAGGGCATGAGGAGGGGAAGGCAGAGAAATGGAAGTTGAAACGCAGGAGGAGCCAAGCATGGCACAGAGAAAGTGCCTGGTGCCACAGCCTCAAGCTTGGAGCTGCAGTGTCATGTTGGCAGCTGAAAAGGATGAGGGGCTAACAGCAGTGAAACAGATTCTGGTTTCTTAGTCTGATTTCTGAAGTGGACCTACCACTTCTCTTAAAAATAAATGTAATGTTAACTTCCTCAACATACATGACTTTACTACATAACAAAGAAGTTGTTTTTTCCTAAAAGGAAAAAAATACACATAATTGTGGCAACCTGCTGACATTTAAATAAATCAGAATCTTAATCTGGACTGGAGATCTATGTGCATTAAAATAACTAAGATGTTAGATTCACAACACTGTGTTAACGCGGGCATAAGATGATCTAGCTAGTTACTCTGGCTTGTAATAAATAAAAACCAAACAGAACCAAACAGGGTTGGGCTGCACAATGAACCTGTAGGAGAAAGATGAACATAGCTTTTCTCTAGTGACAGTTTAAAACTAACGTTCAACCAGTTTAAGAGAGGGACAAAGCTGAAGTGTGGAAGGGATGGGACAGTGAGTAAAGGTAAAATCAATGGAAAAAAAAAAGAGCTGGGATGGCTGTCCCACATCTGGATACACACTACACATATTGAGCAGGCTAATGGTGCCTGCTTGAGTTTATACCCATTCTAATTTGTCTAATTTATTACTCACTACCCATTCTGCCGCTCTATTACATTTAGCAAGAGAGAAGGTATTGCTACAAATCAAAATAGGATGGAGTTATTTAAAGAGATCTAAAGTGTATGCGAGCCGTGTAAACGCAGAAACCACAAAATAGGGATAGTGCAATTATCCTAACCCCAAGCATGGGAAAACTATGAAATTTCAGGATTATATTTAAACATAGCTAGGATATGCTAACACCTTTAGTTCAGTCCTGATGAAATGCTACAAGTGGGTAAAAATACTTGGGAAAAAAACACACATACGTAAGTATTTTATCAATCAATCTGTTCGAATCTGGGACCACGAATACTAAAATGCTGTAATCATGGTCAGATGGGTCTGCAATCATTTTTCAGGGCTACTGACAGAGAACACCACAGAAATATAGCCTTTCCCTTTTAGAATTATAATCAAATGACAGCTGTCTAAAGGATTTCTTTGCATTAAAACTAACCATATCAAAATTATGACAGTGTTTATGGCAGAACAGAGTTAAGGGTGGTGCTAATGGAATATTTTCACAACAAAGAGTTTGGAAAAACTTTTGTTCTCATTTCAAATTAAACATACACACACACATATATATATAATTCTGTATGTCTTTAAAAAAGTAAACTCTTTAATTCCCAGTGTATTGAAAGCACTACAATTTGATAAACAGATACATCAAAGCCATGCCTCCATTAGTAGATGAGATAGTGAGACTGTCCATGAAGTCACTTGTCAGACCACACAGCAAGTCAATTCACTAGCAAATGGAAATAACCTGGCATGGACAATAAATATTTGGGAGAAAAATGAACACAGCTTTTTCTGATGACAATTCAAAACTAATGTTTAGACATTTTCAGGCCATCCTGAGTTATATGGCTCACAGGTAGATGAATGAGCCCAAAGAAACATAGCTGGGCCTATAGCAGGAGCCCTGCCCTCAAGCAAACTTCTCTCTCAATCTGCTAACCTCCTACTGCTCGCATACATACTCTACTCTTTTCAGTATTGTTTTCTTTGCCTTCTCTTCTTCTGCCCTAATGGTATCTATTTCTAATGTGCTCCAACATCCCAACTGTCATAGCTTCAGTCTCACTTGAGGGACAGGTCCTATGCATTTTTTCATGTTCCTGGAGTGTGAACTGATTGCTCACACTATGACTTTGTTTCTTCTTTGGGGAGCCTCAGGAGAAAGTGCTCAAACACAGCTGAGTTGGAACTAGGACTTCCCTACAACATGCTAGACAATGTTCTTTTATTGATTAATTGAAGAGGGCTACTTTGGAAAGCTGTTTCTTACAAATCAAAGACCTGTGCAACTGTTGTTTCATGCAGCATTTTCAATTAAATGTCCTTCCTTACTTTGCAGCACTGCCAATTCTCTTGAAGGAGCCAGAGGGTGAAGGAAAAAATCCTCCTTCCCAGCATTCTTGTCCTATTCTGCATCTCCTTGGTAACAGGAGGGACTCCAGTTCTGATGACCTTGAGAAAACAATTCTAGCTTTCATTATCAAAGGAGCAGAATCAGACATTGGCACTGTCCTGATCTGCATAGCTCACGGATTATTAGCTATGAGTATTTCAGTACCTTATTTTTTCTGCTCATAAACTAAGCGTAAATATTTTATACACGCACCTGGAAACTTAATGCACTCACGTTAGCACATATCCAATTTCTGAAAATGGCCTCAGGAAAAGAAAAGTATTCATATTTTTAATAAGCTAGACTGGTATACCTAGCTGTCATTTTTGTGCCTGATTAGTAGCAATAGGCAGCTTTCCATTTATTTCCAGGCAGCTGCTAGAGAAGGGCTGCAGGCAGATGTAATCTGGAGACTGCAGAACTCAGCTCACTGTCAATTTCACACCAGCATTTTACTTTCGTCTACATCCATTTATTATTAATCTGTATTTATATCTAATTCCAGCTCTTAGTTAGCCTTCACCAGAGGCTTAACCATTAGCAGTGACTATGAGGAAGGAGAGAAAAGCAAAAGAAAACAATAAACTGCCATGAACCAGGTTCTCACCACTCTACGTAACTGTGGGGAGGTGAGAAACTCTACAAAGCTTGGGCTATTTACAAAGCCAAGAGCAGACAAGGCCAATACACTTTCCACATTCTTAGCACTAAATATGAAAAGGGAACATCACAGAATGTGCTTTATAGTCATACCTCGTTTCTACTTTTTCAGGGCTTTGTATCTCTTTTACATTTCTAACCATTTTAAGGCTGGATGTTCTTATATTTCACATTCTCTCAATCCACTAAGCTCTCAGACTCAGTAAGACCATGCCACATTTGTTGCATATAAGCACTATACAAAAACCTTACTTTTTCCATCAACTTTCAAGACATCAACCTTTAACTTAACACAAAGTACAAGAACACTCAATTATGAAAAGATAAACAGAAGTGTCTGATCTACTTCGTCATCTCTAAAGTAAACAATTTTAATTTAAGCAGCAGAATTTGTTTTCCACTGGTGATTTTTTTAGGCTTCAAATCCCTTTTAATCTTTCACCTATCACTTTTATCCCTTTTCAGTATGGCTGAATATTATATTTCAGGTGAAACAACACCACACATTTAATGACAGCATTCTATTATCTTCCAGACCACCCCTTACTCGTTCTTACATTTTGCTCACTTGTTTTGTTCATTTTATTGTAAATGAGAAGCCCATTCAGTATCATCTTTCTGTTAGAGGTAAGATGAATGTAATTCATTGCAAAGACTATCCATAAGTCTCCCAAATGGAGAAAAAGATATCAAATATACGTGCTATGCATGACAGCTTACCACTGCACTGTGGGATGCACAGAATTTATTGCACACTTTCCCCAAATGTTCCCATATCTTCAGGCAATCTTAAGAAGGACTTCAGGTTTCAAGTTAGGTTTCTGGACATTCTTCCTAATGTCTTTTCTGGCAAAAGTAGCCTCAGCAGTATACCTGGCCAAAGCATGATTTCATTTTATTCTGCTTGACATAAGAATTATTGTCTTCAAGCACCTGGTGGGAATGAGAATGTTGTCAGAAACTCAGAGAAGTCATCTTCCACATCTCTTCCAGCGTTCAGTCATAATGAAGGCTCTTCAGTGTTCCTCCTCCAAATCTCTTTCTTTCCGAGAAGCCAGGAATCTACAGACAAAAAAGATAACTTGTTAGAATTAGCAGGAGTTTCCCTCTCACTCATATTCACGTTCCTCTTACTGCACCCACTGCAACAGTGCCATCCTCTTCCACACTGTCCCCAGAATCAGGACTAAAACACTTCAGATTAGTACTAGAAAAGCATCAAACAAGATGTCAAACTATAGTATGGATCTTTTGTCCTGTAGAGCTCCTTTAGGAGCATTTAGGCTTTTTTGGCAAGGTGTACAATGAATCCTAAACCCCTTAATAAGAGATTTCAAAGTCCGTATTTTCCCCAGATTCAAACACATAAAAGAATTTCTCCTCCATTCATTCTTAAAACTATAATATATTATCACCACATTCTATTAAACAACTGTTGAGACTTAATGTCTCTAACCTGAGACAGCAGTATGTCATAGTACACTTCATAGTACAGTTGAAAGTACGATGTTATCAGTTGGTGAAAGCTTTGAGAAAACCATCAGAATAGAAAAAGCTGCAATAATACAAAGGATTAGCACTCTTATTTTTGCAGACTATCTGTATACACTGGTTACGTTGTGACAATGAGTGCTTACCAAAAAAAATCTACTCAAAACCATCAAAAGCTTCTGCAGTTTAACCATATTTCAAACATTTGCAATCTAGTAGAGCCACAAATCACCCAAAAGAAAGAGATATGCTGCTCTCTAACGCTGTATTAGATGGCTGTCCTATTGGTGACTCTTAAAACTGTGTGATTATGATTCAGAATAACTTGAATGTCTAACTTGACATAAGCAGAAACAGAAGAATCAGTAAGCATCCATATTCTCATAGGATATATGAATATTAAAATGGAAGGTGTCAGCCAAGCATTACAGATCATGCTAGGACAATAAAGGTGTTTGTGGTTGATATGGGGAGAGAATGCAATTCACACTATGACGTAGACTGATGGGTTATGTAACTCATTGGTAAGCTGAGACAGCAAAGAGCTTAGCCAAAATAAAAGTCCACTACAGAAACACAAGTTAAATCTAGTCAGGCTTAAGACTAAGGTATTCACTCAAGAATTATTTTGTTCAAGCCTGAAAAGCAGCAATTCCTGAGAAAAGCCAGGTAGTTTTACACAGAATTTCATCTAATCCAAACTGCTTTGGGAATTCAGAAAAGAAAAATGCTGACATTATAACTCAAAAGTAGAAAGACAACATAGCTAAAAACTTATCTGCTTCAGCATTTTCTATATCAAAGCCAACTAAGAGTAACAATTATTTGTTTATATGAGATCTGATCGAAGCTCAGCTACAAGCTATTTGAAACTTATTTTTCTTTTCATCCTGAAGAATTCTATTTGCAATAAAAAAAAGAACAACAAAACACAAAAGGGATTGAAGAAACCCACTGTAGAAAACCCAGAAAGGCATTCATAAGATACACATGACATAGCTCATTTCAAACACCAACATTATGAGTTTATACTGAAGTCACCCATTCTAATTTGGATTTTGTCTTTAAACATGGGTGCCCATAGCTTAAGGTTTGTTTCAAGCTTTTGAGCTGTTGTCAGTGAGGCAAATGAAAGTAGTCACCAGCAGGCTGTAATCTTTGGCACGAGATCATAAAGAATGTAAAGTTAATCTTTGGCTAGCTACTAAAAATGATCAAATAGGAAAACAAAAACCTTACACCATGTAACAAACAGCACACAATCAGATTTCTGCATTGAGCTAGTATTCCCATGAAAGGGAATTTTTCTAGAACTTGAGTAGGAGTGGAGAGGGGACAAAAAAGGGAATCTTGCAGAACTGAAACAGAAAAAAAGCAAATTTATTTCTAAAAGGCATAAGAACATGCTCACATAAGGGAAGCATTTTATAATTCCAAGTTCATTTTTTCCTGCTCTCCCAAAGGGGCTTTCAGCTCAGTTACACTTAGTAATACATTTCACACTATTTCTGTGGTGCTATTCACCATAATTTGCAAGCACCTCACAGACCTGATGAGTAGAACTTCACTGTTTCCTGCATGTTAGACAACACATGAGAAAACAGGGGCAATAAGAAATTGAAACGACTGGCCTGTCGAGGTACTCATTTGCCTTGTTCTTTACCAACTGTACTGGAAAGTTTATCTAACCATTTAGGAATTAATTACAGTATGGTATCATATTGCCATTTTTTTCCTGCTGTTCCACTGGTTCTATGGAAACTACCCGTACAAAATAAATAATGCTAGTTTCATCTGTGCAAAAAAAGCCTTTTCATTGACCTTCATGACAGCATCTCTGGCTTAAACTTGCAAGCTGACAGTCAGAGGCTGAGAGATTTGAAAGAGATCCTGTTAGCCCAATTTATTTAAAGTGATTACTGCTGATCACATTACAAACATTTCAGGTGACAGAAGTCAGACAATTTTCAGCCTAGCCAAAGCAGTTGTGCTCCCACAGATAAAAAAACCGACCTCAACTACCAGCATAAATTAGCATAAATTAAAGTCACACAAAGTCCATGTTTTACACAAGGTCTCTACCAGCAGTTCACGACAGTGGGAGAAACAAAATAAAAAAGAAAAAATTACAAACCTGATTGCTATCTCTTAAGAAGTATCTCTTCTCTATGACCTGGAAAAACAGTGAGAGAATAATTTTAGCAGGCACAATATATGCATAACCTCAGATTTCAACCAATACTTCACACATGAGCAGTGAAACTCATGGCTAACAGGGGAGAGATCTGGACCCAAGCCCTATGCTCTAGGCCTACTGCTTTAATTACAGTGCTTTATTACACACTGAAGGAGTTGCCACCTTCAATGATTCCTGGTAAAGCTGTCATCCTCAACTTCTATACAGCAAATGAAAGTAGTCCTCCTTTAATAATGGGGGTGATTGGTGTCTCCTTATTGCATCAGAATGAAAGTTACTCCCATCTGTCTCTGCAGGTGCAGTTGCCACAGAAGCTCAATCTGCAGATGTCCACTGTGCAATAGGTGAGGTTTGACAGAAGGTAGCCATACTTGCTCTCTGAAAATGATTCACAAACTGTCCATGTTGAAGGGCACCTATGCAGCTACCACCACCAGTCTAAGAATCAAAAAGCAATTTGTATCATTTTGTATAACCTGCACCCTCCTCCCAAGAAAATTCAGGCCGAATTTCGTTTCTGAAGAATGATCTGTTACGGGACATCATCTGTTTCACTGTGATCTCTTTGTGCAGGGGATGCTAAGTGCCTTAAGCCAGAGCAATCCTGTCATTTTCACAGCAGGTCTTGATGCTCTCTTGTTGAGGAAAGAAAAGTAAGGTACTAAATTTCTTCATTCCTGAAGTTTGATTTAACTAGGAGCGATAGAGCTAACCATCGTCTATACAGAATCACAGAATGACAGAATGGCCAGGGTTGGAAGGGACCTCAAGGATCATGAATCTCCAACCCTCCTGCCACATGCAGGGCCACCAACCTCCCCATTTAATACTAGACCAGGCTGCCCAGGGCCCCATCCAACCTGGCCTTGAACACCTCCAGGGACGGGGCATCCACAACCTCTCTGGGCAGCCTGTTCCAGCACCTCACCACTCTCTCTGTAAAGAACTTCCGCCTGACATCCAACCTAAATCTCCCCTCCCTCAACTTAAAACCATTTCCCCTTGTCCTGCTGTTATCTACTCTTTCAAAGAGTTGATTCCCCTCCTGTTTGTAGGCTCCCTTTAGGTACTGAAAGACTGCAGTGAGGTCACCCCGCAGCCTTCTCTTCTCCAGGCTGAACAAGCCCAGCTCCGTCAGCCTGTCCTCACAGGGGAGGTGCTCCAGACCCCTGATCATCTTTGTGGCTCTCCTCTGGACCTCTCAACAGCTCCCTGTCTTTTTTGTACTGTGGCTCCACACCTGGACGCAGTGCTCCAGATGGGGCCTCACAAGAGCAGAGAGGGACAATCACCTCCCTGTCCCTGCTGGCCACCCCTCTTCTGATGGAGCCCAGGATACCATTTGCTTGTCTTGTAACTCTTCGTGTTACCCTAGCTCACTGCAAACCCTCTGGTCTACCAAATGATTTCAAAAGTATACGCACTGTTTTTGCACAGTTGTGAGCTGTTCTTTATTAGTACATACAGATAAAAAATCAAATTTTCAAGTTGATCAAAGATCTCCATGAGAAGACTAGCCTTTGGCCTGCCCATACCTGGCTTGAGTTATTCAAATTCAAAAAGCACAATGTGAAAGGAATAGGTGTCTTCCATGCTCAAATCACAGTGTTCAATACACAGAGCAGTAAAGCCTAATTTAATTGACTTACCTTATCAAAAAATCTGCTTAGCTTGACAGCATTGGATGAGCCTGCAGCCAAGTAACGAGGATTGGTGCAATCCTAGAACACAAGAAAGTCAACAAACCAAGCACAAGAAGATCAGTGCAATGAAGACATACAAATAGAAATTATCATAACATTTTTCCTCAGCCATGCACATACCGCCAATGAAGGGAAACAGTCCAGCTGCTATTATTTCATCTCCAAAGTCATTTGAGAGAAAAATGGATTGAGAAGAAATAAAAACAAAAACCTTTGGTGTTTTAAGTTCAGCTAAATCAAAAAGTTTCCTTTTCCTCAGAGTTTTGGGAATGAGAGGTTTGAAGGCAAAATCAATTGCTTAAGAGAAGTAGCATTCAAGTGATTTCAGAGGTGCAGTATCAGAAGATGATACAGAAATAATCCTAGCCAGGTATCATGAAAGGTATTGGTTTGACCTGTGGACCAAAGCTCTCTACTCATGAAAGGCATGGAAGCAGCAGCTTTCCTTAGTATTGTCCTTCATCTAGATCTTTGCCTGGAGGGTAGACTCCTTACACTAGAGGTAAAGTCAATTCTACACTGCAAAGTAACTAGAGAATCCTGATTTCCCCTATGCTCTCCATATCTGTGTTCTGTCACCAGCTATAAAGTCAGCTAATAATTTGTACTGGTCACATGTTCATGTGCAGAAACATTTACACAGCACACTGACAATGTTAAAGACTGTAATGTTTTGGCTGGAATAGAGTTTATTTTTTTCACAGTTGTTTGCATGATGCTATGGTTTGGATTTGAAAACAGTATTGATAACACATCGATGTTTCAGCTATTGCTCAACACTATCTACAAAGCATCAAGGCCTTTTCTGTTTCTTGCTGCTGCGCCAGCAAGCAAATTGAAGCTAGAATGAAGCTGGGAGGAGACACAGCCAAGAAAACTGACTCCAACTGACCAAAGGAATATCCCAGACCACACGGCATCATGCTCAGCCATAAAAACTCTGGGAAAGGAGAAGGAAAGTGGGGACACGAGGACTGATGGTGTTTATCTTCACAAATAATTGCTACATAAGCACGATAAAGCCCTGCTTTGCAGGAAGTGGTTAAACATTTGTCTGCTGAGGGGAAGAAGCAAATGAATTCCTTTTTTGCTTTGCTTGCACAGTTTCCACTTTCATGTTAAACTGTCATTACTTCAACCCATGAGTTTTCTCACTTTTATCCTTCTGATTTCTCTCCCCCATCCTATGGGGTGAGAGTGAGCAAGCAGTTGTGTGGTACTTAACTGCCTGCTGGGGTTAACCCACTACACATATGTATCCATATACAGAAATAAATCATATGGTTATTTCATTCAAAAATATTTCATTCAAAGATATTCTGTGTTGGAACTAAGAAGAGGGAAAACTTCCAGTCACCAATTCCAAGATCAGCAGCTTTATCTAACCCCTCTATCTTTCTACAATGAAACAAAGACCATCATTTCATCACATAGAGGTGTCAGCTAATCAAAACATGCATGACTCCAGCACTACTGAGAAAATCTCTGGAACTGCAATTTTTGTAACAAGTTTTACTTAACAGAAAATCAGAATCACTGCCATATAAAAGAAAAACACTGGTGACAAGGATACTAACCAAATTTATCTCTTCAGCATTGAAATCCTCAGCCAAGAAAGCTGTTCTGGTCAAAACTTCATTACGCTTAGTTTCTGGGATCTGATCCAGCTTAGTTCCTATTACCAGCAGCGGAATCTGGTTATCAGCAAACTGTTCACGGTCATAGTCACTGAAGGAAACAAACATAATCCTGAATGGAGTGAGGGTCATCTAAGTGAGCTTAGGGGCACCATAAGATTCCCCGTTCCTTTCAAATAAGAGCAATTTATCAACATTATTTATCTGAGAACATGCTGTATGCGCAAATTAAGGCTTCAGCATCTAAGACCCTACACAGAAATTGAAGGAAAAAAGAAACCATGGATTGGATTTCTTCTCTTCATAGATGACTTGCAGGTCAGAAGAAATGCTAGGTAGTTTAGACAAGCAAGAAAGAAACAGGGGCTTCATTCAGTATTATACCAGGCATATGCAGCCATCAGAGACTCAGCAGGGAGCAGCATCTCTGAACATCCAAAGTTCTGACATTTTTAAGGCAGGAAAATGAAATAAATCACAACTGTGAAACATTATCCTTTCCCACATTAGATCAAAAGGGCTGCAATAACACTGCTGAAGTGTCAAGTTACTAATTTCTACATTCAAGTAAAGGTAGTTACTACACCCTGAATTCCAGTTTCCATTCCAAGCTTTGATTCAGGTATGAATTATGATCAAAGATAATCTTTATAAAATAAATTATATAGTAATTAAACATCTTTACAAATCCATATACCAAGCATTGCCCTTAGGATACCTGTCAGTTTTACTTAAGACAAGCTAAAGTGAAGTAATTTTATGAGTAAGAGCAACAACTTGATCAAGTAATTGGTAGGAGCTGAACATCTGTCCCTGAAGTGAAGGTTTAGAGAAATCTTAAGTTTGCTTAAATGGAAGCCCTCCTTTCCTTCTCCCACGTTTCTACAGAAGCACCTGTGTACCAGCACAGGCAGATAAACAATGTAATCTATCCACAAAAAGCTGCCCTTTGTTATTGCTTCTCTGCTCATGCATGTGGTTTATCAATGATTTGATAACCTCCTTGATTATGTATATAACACACAGAGAAAGAAGAGGACATACTTGACAAGTTGCTGGAAAGCTTATTATTAACACATTCTTTACATGGAGATCTTTAAGCTCTTTTTTCAGGTACACTCCTGAAATGACTCCCATCCACCCAAAAGTGAACGCACTTGGTCTTGGTGCATTCAGGGGAAGCCCTTCCAAACAGAGTCATGCCATTCCATGACACTTACTGTACAAGGGCTTTGCGTCTCTTCAGGTATCAGGGAATGAACACAGACAGAGGCCTCAGGCAAATAAAGGGCACGGTAAACATCTTTTCCCTTAAAGCAAGGTCTCTGCTATGCAGTTTGGGAATCTACTGAGAGAATGGCCTCATCAGCAATGCAAAAAGAAAACTCCAGTGATTTTCTTTGGTATGTCCTCATTTTTTATTTCTTTCTTAAAATTCCAGCCACATCTAATTTCGTGTGGTTTTCACACTTTGGGATGAACGAAGACTCCCACAACAGCTTAGAATTACTGTGCACATACTGTGTATGTTTTCCACTCACCCGTTTGTCACGAGAACTCCTGTTGGAGCGACATCTCTGTTGAGTGCTTCCAAAGACCAGCGATATAAATTCTGGGATGATTTCTTGTTGGTTAAGTCATGCACTAAAATTATCCCTAAAGTGAAAGAGTAGGCAGCAAGATGTTATTTAATGATGTGTGTCTTTTTCTTATCTTCACAAAATGACATCTGCAGGTCCCCAGATGTCTAACAATCAGGAAAGGGAAATATAACCAGTTCAGTTACAGTAAATAAGAAAACCAGAAAATATTGCGATGCAACAGTTGTTGGGTTTTGTTTTTTTTTTCTTCCTAAAGTTGCTTATCAGGAATTGGATAAGAACAAAAAGAAAATCTCACAAAAAAGGGAAAACAACAGCCACCTCAGGATTTAATCTGCAAGTGGCTTGCATACATTCTCTGATTCTGCTCTGCCTAGTCTTAAGGATACAGAAACTCGATTGCTGCAGCAGAGAAGTCATCCTTTTTCTGCTTTGCCTAATTAGTAAATGTAACCATTTTTTTGGTCACACCATCTGAGAAGTCCAAAGGTTCTTCCTCTGTTTTGAAGGGTTTACACAGCGCTATTGCTTTCCTGCATTTTCAAGAACTGATGCCAAGTACTTGGGGAGGTATCCACAAGAGAAACTCACAGACTTTTACAGTCCACTAAATGGCTGGTAGAAATATGAATGAATATGATTTCATGTATTTAAGCTTCCAGCATTTTTCATCACTATCATCTTTCACAACGTAAAATCAGAGAGAGGAAAATTGCCAGCCAAACTTCCTAGCAGTGCTATTAACAGACACCCACTTCTGATAACCACAGTTCCTAACTCCATTACCAATTCCTGCTAGCAAATTTCTTCTATTTATTCACACCTTCTGAAACCTGTGGAATGTTCCCACTTCCTCCAGACTTTAAATCGTAATTAATTCAAGGACCAAATGGCATAATATCCTTATCAGGATTTGTTTTAAACACATTTAACAGCACATAGGTGTAGAATACTAGTCATTTTATCTTTTACCTTAATTCCTAAAGATGCCACCCACTGTACACACTAAGAACAAACACATTCTCCACCACCTCACATTACTGTTCACATAGACTCAGTGCTATGAGATTTCCCATCATGTCACAACCATATCCTTATTTCAAAGCACTTATCTTAGTAATTGCAGGAAAAGACAACTCAACCGTCTGCCCACCTCTAGCGTAGGAAGAAAAAGCATGGCACAATATAACTTGGCCTGTGTCAACAGATTCATAGGCACTGCTGCATAATCTGTGAGAAACATACTCAACCTCCAGACACTCTTCCCTAGCCATGTTTTTGATAGGTTGGTTCCCTTCTCTGCTTCACTGAAAGCCTACACAGATAGCTGCACCAGCAGAGAAGACAACATCAAAAAAGAGCGAGTAGGACCAATGACCACTCAAGGAAAAGTTCCTCCCACAAAATGTCTGCAAGTCACGGCCTTGCTGCCTGTTCACTGCCCTAGACTATCACAATCCACACATCAGATGCAGGAACAACCAAGCTGAAGAGCTGAGGTAGACTAAAGAGTAAACTGTATCAAGCTTCAAAGTACCCAGGTCTCCCTGAAAGCCAGCAACCAAACACCAACTGTCTTTTGAAGCCCAGTAAGGTGAAGCAGTCAGGCAGAAGGAATGCATTAATCTTCTCTTCTTACATCAGGTGAGAAGCAATCTGTGAGACAAGCTCTAGCAATGGAATTTATTTAATGAAAAAAACCCCAACAACCCAAAAACCACAACAGTGCCAAGGCTAACTACCAAAGCCAACAGTTTTCATATGCAAGCTGGCTAGTTATATCATTTGGGCAGTAAAGACAAATAGTTTTATTTTAATAACTTCATCGATTATAACATACATAACTTTGAAATTTCATCACCTAATGTGCTGTTTTAGGATATTTCCAAGTCTGACCTATACAGGCTGGCATGCCTGCAAGTTAAGCGTCAAAAAGAACTCATTTTTTTTCATGTACAGTAGAAGCTTATTTTGAGGCCCTTGCTTTGAGGACACAGCTCAAATCAAATCTTATTTAGGGATGTCTGGCTAACAGTACAAGCAAGAGATACCTGCATACAGTTATCCCTTTGGAAAGGGGAAAGAAATAACTGATTAAACAATCACAGAGCAAAAAACTGCTTACTATATAGCTTAAAACATTACTGAAGGCTCTCAAATGACGAGGAGCAAGAAACAAGAGTCAAAGTGAGAGAGATTCATAAGCAGATGTTAATCAGGTATATATCTATTTTCAGTGATCTGTCCTTGGATGCCAAAAAAGTAATAACCGAAATGCAATCTCTTATTTGCTACCTTAGTGATACGGATGAACCACCAGACCTTTAAGCCAGTATCTCAAGGGAACAGATGCCATCCTTTCAAATGGCATAAAATGTAACTTTCCACCAATCTTGCAAGTTGCAGATTCAACTACTACTAATCACTTGACAAATTAAATGAGCAGAAGGCAAGATGGTTATCAGAATATTGCAATTTTATGGGAGAAGAGTTCAAGTTTGTCATTGTGGGATATAACTATCAAAGTTCATACCATAATTTCAAGTTCACATTTATAAATTCAAATAGCTATTTCTGCACTGTAGGTTTTGGAACTAGACAGACATGAAAATATAAATTGTATATCTGCACATACATCAGGCCTGGAGAGGTAATGGCAGCCTTTTATGTCTGCATGCATAGCTGAAAAGGACATCACTGGAACACTGCAAAGATTCCTCATTGCGCTAGCTGCATGAGACTGAAGGGGAAGGCTGATGAAGCTCATTTGTACAGGTTTGCCTAAAATACCTTCCCAGTTCAAAATTGAATTCTAAGAATGCTAGTTTTTTTTTTTTTTTTTTTTTTTTTTTTCTTTATAAATATGCTGGAATCAGAAAAGAGAATGGAACAGTCCTCATCTAGCCTTAAAGGAGTCCTGCTCCAGAACCAAGAGAGCTCTCAACAGTAACAAGTGACAAAAAGAGATTGATACCAAGCAAACTTACCATTCAGTGAGTTATAAAATACTGCTCTTGTGCTTTTCACACTAGTGGCACTACCCACTGAACCTCCAACATCCCACAGCTCAATATAGTACGTCTTCTCTTCTGGAGTCCCTTCTTTGTAGTCATGGATCTAATGGAAAATTCATATCATACACAATCACAGCATCAGTTTCTGGGCGTTAATCTGTACAATACAGCTCAAAGGACTACAGCACTTGGACAGAAAATTGCAAATTTTAACAGTGGCAGCAATTTCAAATCTCTCAAGTGGAAAAAGACTGGGTGGACAGTTAGGATATCAGAAAATGCAGGAAACACTGATGAAAGCGTTCATCATTGTGCTGTGAGGATTGCACTTAGGGAGTCAGTGGATAACCTCATCCTCTGCAACGAGCAGGAAGGGAGACATCACACCGAGTACCCTCAAGTTCAAGGTGAGAGGGAATGGCCTTAAATTGCACCAATGGGGAGGTTCAAGAGGAATAATAGGAAACATTTCATCTCAGAAGGAGTGGTGAGGCAGTGGCACAGCTGCCCAGGGAGGTGATGCAGTTACTGTCCTGGAGGTGATCAAGAACCGTATGGATGGCACTGAGGAATGTGGTTAGTGGGCGTGGTGGGGATGGGTTGGAGGTTAGACTAGATGATCTTAGTGTTGTTTTTTTTCCAGCCTTAGTGATTTCTGTGCTTCTACAACGAGGTACCAATTTTTCCCCAGAGCATTTGGCAGCCCGGCACCTACTCGCACATCCACCGAGCAGCCCACCGTCCAGGACGGGTTTCCCAGCACCTGGTTGTGGCACAGGAGGTGCACGAGAGAAGACTTTCCGACACCTGCAAAGGCACACAGAGGACAATGTCGGTTAACCTGGCTACCGCACGACAAAGGGACCAACGGGGACCGGGACAATCAGCCCCAGAGCGGCGGTTAACGGCCAACTCTTAAAAACCCAGCGGCCGGGTCTTGCGGGGATTCTTCCACTCAGGCAGCGGCTCACTGCGCATGCGCCCCGGCTGCGGGTGGGGGGCACGGGAGAGAAGGGGGGCGCCCCAGCCCCGCGCTGTGCGCGCGCGCATCCTGCATCGTGCTGGGGGAGGGGAGAGGGGCACGCACTCACCGGAGTCGCCCAACACCAGCACCTTGACCCTATCCAGAGCCGCCATCTTAGTCTACCTAGCAACAGCTCCCGCGCGTACCAGCCTTCTCGCGGTGCGCTCAAGCGATTCGCTGGCTGCTCGAGCGAGAGACGCGGCGCTCGCTTTCTATTGGTCGAACTCCCACCTGGGCGGGGACCATCTGGGACTCTGGGAGGACGCGATTGGTTCGCGCAGAGGGTCGGGAGTCTCGCTGACGCAAGCGGCGCGCAGTGCTGACGCAAGCGGCGGAGCGGCCGGAAGCACCGCCCGGAGAGGGAGGGAGAGCTGGCAGCGGCGGCAGGTCAGTGCCGGCCCGGGCAGGCCTCGCGCGGGGCCTGCCGCGGTGCGCGCCGGGAGCCGGGCCCGGGTGGTCGGGGCCCCGCCTGGTTAGTGCGGAGCACCCACGGGAGCCGCGCTGACCGCATCTTGAGGGGCTGCTCCTCTCCCCTGCTTCGGCCTGGGCTCTGAACCGGCACCAGCCTTGCTTCCTGTGTTCTCTGTGGTGGCTTCATTTTTCTGATTTTTTTTTTTTTTTTTTTTTTATGATACTGCTCAGCCTCTCGAGTCTCCCATCCCAGAGGGCCTCGCAGAACCCGTTGTTGAAAACCTCGTTTGTAACAGCCGGTAGAGCATAGGAGCCGGTGCACGTGGCGTAAGGGGTGCTGTTCTGATCTGGGCTGCCACGGCGGTGTAGGAGGCCAGCCCAGCTCCTCGTGTGGGGTTAGGGCTTCGGATGTGCCGTGCTAAAACATCCAGGTTGCAGCCAGACGAGCCTGGTGCCTTGAGACCGCAAAGTGCTGCTACCGAAAGGCACGTGCTTAACCTCCCTCTTGTGCAGGTGTTAACCAATACCTTAGCCTGGGTTCTGCTGCCATCCACTTCAGAGGCTCGCAAAGTATTTTCTCTGTGTGCAGTAGTTTTCCTCTTGCTTCGTGAGGTTGATGCTTTCCAGGGGAGCTGATGAGTGTCTCATCTCTCGGTAGGCTGTTAAATCGATCAATCCTGTCAATCCTCTGTCATCACAGTTGGCTCAGAATAAAGGAAGATCAGCGTTATGAAGAGAGAGTTCAGCAGTGCATTGTTAGGGTGCAATTTAATGAAGTATAGGTGATTTAGCATCTTTCAGCCACAAAAAGTTGAGTTTCTCTTTCATGCACTGGCATCCTCTCACTTTTGGCTCTAGGGCTTATCATAGTCTTCCATGCGCAGGCTCAATTGACTAAACTGTTGAAAAAAAGGCCTTTTTTTCTGTCTTTAGTAATTTAAATTGATGCACAGAAAAGTACCGTGAGTGCCAGAGCTGACACGGGAGAGGGCAGGACCATGTGCTTGGAAGAAGGCAGTAATAACGAACGAAGGAAGTTTTACCTACTGCTCCCTTTAGGATGCTACTTCCAGTTCATTTTCATGGAGGCTGCCTCAGGAAGTTCTTCAAAGCAAGAAGCCAGATGAATTAAAGCTAATCTCCTATCTTGTAGCTATTTAGTTTATCTGTTTCTTACTGTTGCTTGCATATACTTACGTACTACACCCTGATAAACTTTTCTGAGCCTAATACTTTCATATACTTTGTTATGACTTTTCTGAATATCTGAAAGTCCGACCCATGTTGTGGATGCCCCATCGCTGGAGGCATTCAAGGCCAGGCTGGATGTGGCTCTGGGCAGCCTGGTCTGGTGGTTGGCAACCCTGTACATAGCAGGGGGGTTGAAACTAGATGGTCTTTGTGATCCTTTTCAACCCAGGCCATTCTATGAATCTGTCATTTTTGTAATCTGTCTTGGTGAAAGGCATGATGTACTAGGTCTTTTCAATCTAGGTTATGAAAGGGAATTACTGCTTCTTTCCAGCCTGAGGTTTAACCAGCAGCACTGGGTTAAGCCCATTGTACTCTAAGTGTAATCACGATCTCTAAGGCTTGATATTTTTGAGAAAAGGTTTTTTTTTCATAAAAAATAAGAAAAAAAAAAAAAAAAAACAACAAAAACATTGTCACTTGATAATGTGGACCAGAGCTGGGAAATCTAAAAAATAATGAGTGTACTTCTGCTAGTACACACATAAGGAATGCTTTACGTTGTATAAACTAATGATGTCCCTGCTTAGAGTATCTTTTTGCTACCACCTGCGGAAGGTTCACTCTTCTGCATCCTTAACCATGCTGTCTTCTATCTGCTTTGGATATGCTTTAGTCTAGTAATTTAAGTCATGTGGTCTTTGAACTGCTCTGCATCTAAAATACCATAATTTTTTGGGTTGTTTTTTTTTTTTTTTGTGTATGTGTGTTGGTTTTTCAGTTTTTATCAGCTTGATTCACCTCACTACATAAACAGCTAATCACTGAAGTCAGCACAAGGTGGGAGTTAGATTGTAGCTTCAGGCAGCAAAGGAAGAGGAAAATCTCTTTCTGTACGAGGGAATAGTTTAACTTAAGCTGTAACAGGAATCTGTATCTTCACCATTTTAGATGCTAAGTCTTACCTTCAGTAAATAGTGCACTTTGGTACACTCCACTTTTTTTTTCTACATCTATAACTGAACAGTTTGTTAATGCTACTATGCCTTTGATGTACTTTTGAATATATGTTTGTATGTATACATACACATAGGTAGTCCTTAAATTCACTGATGTCTTGCTATTGTTATGTGAGGTTAAATCATGAATGTGATGACGACTGCAGGCTCAGAATGTAATTCTCAAGCTTCTGCTTGCACGGTTGGGATTTGTTGCCTTAGTTGAAGTTCCTTGTATTTTTGCTGAGAAGATTAGGTGAAAACATCGTATTTTCAGCTGGGCTTTTGTCTCTCTCCAATTTATAGGAGGGAGAGGAGGTTCTTTCATATCTGTATACCTGGTGTGAGACTAAGAAACTGTGGTTCAAATGGTGGTTGACCAGTTTATTACAAATCTTAATCAGGGAGATGGGGGAGGGGGGAAGAGCGGTAGAAAAGATAGAAAATGGAAGCAAGGAGTCTTTGTAGGAAGCAAGAGATAGTCACCACCATGGATCCAGCATGGTTTGTAGTTCAGTCATTGATCTTCGGTAGTGGTGAGTTGTCGGGAGTCGTTGTTCTGTTGATGATGACGACGACTTTTCAGTGGTAGTGCCAACAAATAAGTCCAAAGTGGTTGAGTCAGCTCTCATTGGAGTGCAACTTCTGGCTCTGGGATCTCAGCAGAAACTCCTTTGTTCCCATCCTCCAGGCCTTGCCAGCAGATAAGAGGGATGCCCACCTGCATCCTGTTTTTTGCAGGACACGATGGTATCATTCCCCAGTTTTCCCGTACTGAGCTGAAGCTATTTAGTCAGGGACCTGATCTTCTACCAGTAAACACTCCTGAGCACTCTTTTCCAGAGGCAAGCAGCTCTGGAGGAAGGTGCTTTCCAAGTGTCTTCAAAGTGATGTTGATTGTCACACAGTAGCACCCATCGCTTGCCTCCTCAATAAATCAGTTAGAGCCTTATTGTAAGAAATACCTCAGGAAGCTTGTTTGAGCCAAAAAAATAAAGAAGGATTCTCACAGCTTTTCAGCCTTTTTTTGTGCAGGAGTGAATAAAAGAAGTGAACTTTAAGAAGAAGAAAAAGGTACCGATGGCCTATAGCCACTTGGTTTTTGTTTAAGGAATGCCAATAGAAGACGGGATTCTAGTGCTAGCAAGCTTGTTTTGTTTTGTTTTGTTAATTTTCTGCTGTAATACTTCAGGGCAGGTACTCTTGCAAACAAAGTGAATGATTTCACATCAAATACAGGCAGTGTTCCTGCAGTTTACAGGGAAAGGAATTCAGTAGGCTGTTGATGAAATGTTGAAAGACTTGAGTTTTGCAAATGATGTGGTATAAAGGCAGTTCTAGATAATAAGGATATGTTGCACAGATTGTGATCTGGTGCCATTTTTAAATCCTAAAATCATTCTCGTTGTAAAAGATACAGGAATAAGCCATAACCCTGACTGACCAAGTCCCAGCACTAAACCACTTCCCTGGCAGCCTCTTCCAATACCTGCCCACCCACCCTCTCTGTGAAGAAAACCTTCCTGATGCCTAACCTAAACCTCTCCTGGCAAAACTTGAGATAGTGGCCAACGTTACTTTGTGCATCCGTTTGAAGTTTAGATGACAAGTTTTCCCATTCCCATTTTGTGCCTCCCTTGTTTGTATTCAGAAAGGTTCAGAATCACTCCCGTTGGCGCAACCCTATCATCTTCCTGAGGACAATTATTCATTTCGTTAGAGTTAAATATTATAAAGCTAGGTTTGAAGTTTGCAAGTGACCACTGGAAGGAGGCAGTGGAGCATAGAGGCTCTTAAAAGCCCGTCGTACTTAGCCATATTTAAAGGTGAAGGACTCTGTAAATCGTCAGACATGAATACAAGGAAGACAGAAAGTGAACAGGGAAAGTTAATGGCGAATTACTTGAGTTAACTAATCAAGTAATAGGCCATTGCCTAATACTCCAGAATTCATATTCTGGACAAAATAAAAAATATTAAAACCTGAAACTGAAATTTTCTGATATCTGTAGGTACGCTCAAGACCTGTGTCTTGGGCATTTCGTTCAACCTTATGTATGATTTCTGTTTTGCAACCTGTTCCCTGCATTTCTTTATCCAACAGATTTTATTATCTTGTGTAACTGTGCACCTTTATTTCCAGCAGATTTTTCAAAAAACAAATGTTACTACAGAAGGACTGTAGCACCATATACATCTGTGTTCTTCATATATCCATCATACTGAATTGTATTCATATAATTCCAATACAACATTTTCCCCAGTAGTCTTTTAATCAAGGCCATGTTTCGATTTAGAAACTGGGTGTTCCAGAGCATTGTCCTGCCTAGTGTGCTTTGTTATGGATGCTGCAGGTGCATACTGCATAGTGCTTTATCTTGGCCATTGCTTTTCTTTTGTTTTTTTTTCTTCCCAGATAGTGTCCCTTCAAGTTCATACATTAAAGGCATTACAGATGTTATTATGAAACAGATGCACGTTCATTAAAACCTTGTTAGGAGATGTTATGATATTTCTTTGCCCATGTAATTAATTCAAGTTTGACTTCAGCACTCCGATGGGATGTAAAATCACTGC